TATATATGTATATATAACGAGGGTCCTGCACACACAATGTATATATATATATATGAATATATATATATATATATGCATATATATGTATATTATATATATGATATATATATATATAGTATATGCATATTCTATATATACGTATATATTTTATATATTATAAATAATTATTATATAGATACAATTATTATATGGGTGTAATAATATATATATATATACTATATAATAACATTATCATACTTGTAATAATAAATAAGATAATTAATAATAGAATTAATAATATATTGAATAATAATAATGAGAAATAATAATAATATTATTAAATTATAATAGTTATAATATGCATAATAGATAAGCATAATCATAATAATCATATGAACATAATAATAAACTAAACAAAACAAACAACATAAACGTAAACAGCAATTATAAACATAATACAGACAATAAATATAACAAACAATATAAACAACAAAAACATATTAAGATAATCAACATAATAAACATAATAATAATATACAGCTAAGCAACAAAACAGAAGAAACAATTTAATAAACAAAATAAAGACAATAAACAAATAAACAAAGACATTCATATGATTGATAAACAAACAAAAATAAATGCAGATAGTACCTTAAAGAATGGCGGCATACAAACAACTAACTCCAACACCTAACTAGCTACACAGCTAGCTAGCTAGCTAGCTACACAGCTAGGTGGATAACTAGCTACACAACTAGGTAGCTAGCTAGCTAGCTAACTAGCTAGCAAGACAGATACAGAGACAGCTAGCTTGCCAGACAGCTACATAGAGACCTAGCTAGCTAGACAGCAAGACAGCTGTACAGACAGCTAGCTAGCTAGCTAGCTACACATCCTATACGAGATATGCGGGCTGAAGAGCGTCTGCGACGCCGCCTCTCCTGCCTCTGTTGCTGCGTTTGCTGCTGCTGCTGCTGCTGCTGGTACCTGTGCAGGTGGTGTGGTGCGTTAGCTGCTGCTGCACTTGCTGCTGCTGCTGCTGCTGCTGCTGCTGCTGTAGGTGAAATTTACCTGCAGCACTTTCTTGATTGCAACTCTCTCCCCTGTCTCGAGACATCTTGCCTCTGTCACAACTCCGAAAGAGCCGTTTCCGAGCACTTGGCCCATATCGTAAGACTTCTGAGGCTGCTGCATCCCGCTAGCTGAGCGTCTATTACCCTTGCTGCTGCTGCTGCTGCTGCTGCTGCTGCTACCACGAGGGGCTCCTGCTGCGCCTCCAACGGCTCCTCCACCTGCTTCTGCTCCTCCTGATTCCGCACCGCCTGGTCCTCCTGTTTCTGTTGCTGCTGCTGCTCCTCCTGCTGCTGCTCCTGCTGCTGCTGCTGCTGCTGCTGCTGCTGCTGCTGAGCAAGCCTCCCCCCTAGGGTCTCCTTGAGGATCTGGCATGCTGTGCTAAGCACCCGGAAACAGAACAAATTTATTTTAAACGCCAGTCAAACTGAAGTGAAAAAAGACAGAAAAAAATACCGATGCAACGCCCCTAACAGCTGCTGCTGCTCCTGCTGCTGCTGCTGCTGGGGTGGCTGCTGCTGCTGCTGCTGCTGCTGCTGGGGTGGCTGCTGCGAAAGCCCACGAAAATATTTCAAAGTGACGATGGAATTGTAAGGGCAAAGCAAACCCTCAGCTGCCGACTTGTCGTCTTTGCGGTGTACGTACAGCTGCGAAGTGTACAGCCAGGTTCTGTATATATAAACCTTCAGCAGCAGCAGTAGCAGCAGCAACAGCCACAAGCGTGCTGCTGAGGGCTAAGAAGAAGCGAAAGATCAACTGCAAAGCAGCACGGAAGCACTCCTTCGCCTGTGGGCAGCAGCTGCTGCTGTTCCGGCTGCTGTTGTTGCTGCTGTTGCTGCTGCTGCTGCTGCTGCTGTTTGCTGCGCGTACTTAGATTGTCTCGCGTGCCCTGAACAGCATGCCTCTGAAGCTGCAGCTTACATTAGATGCAGCTGTTCATTCTGCTGTATAGACAACGGAACCCACTGGAGCGGCCGTAGGAAGCAGCAGCTGCAGCAGCAGCAGCAGCAGCTGCAGCAGCAGCAATAGCAGCGGCAAGA